GGGGGGGTGGGGGGGGTGCAAACTCATACAGTCACTCTAGAAAACAGAGTGGCAATTCCTCAAGAAGCTGGGAATTGATCTACCTCAAGACCCAGCTGTACCACTCTCGGCATATACCCAAAGGATGCTTCATCCTACCACAGAGGGACTTGCTCAACAGTGCTCATTGTTGCTCTATTCACAATAACCAGAGACTGAAAACAACCTAGATGTTCATCAATGGGTGAATAGGTAAGGAAAATGTGGTACATTTACAAAATGGAATATTACTCTGCTGCCAAAAAATCATAAAATCCCTGGGTAAAATGGATGGAACTAGAAAAAATCATCCTGAGTGAGGCAACTCAGATCCAGAAAGATAAATATGGTATGTGTTCACTTGTGTGTGGATGCTGAGTGTTAAAGATAAGCAAGCTACAATCAGCAGAACCACAGAGGTTAGGTATAGGTATAGAGTAAGGGACGGGGGGGGGGGGGCAGATCTCTTTAGGAAGAAGTAGAATAGATAGTTATTGATGGATTCAGGCTGGGCACTGAAACAGGAGGAGCAAATGGGGAGAGGAACAGATGAGGATGATGAAGGAGAGGATATGGGGAGGGCCAGCTAAAACTAAGGGCCATCTGAGGGGTCATATGGAAACCAACACAGCAGAAGCTTCCTAAATTATATACATACATGAAGACAATCTAAATGACAGTGCCAAATAACAGGGAGCCCCAACTGGACATCTTCCGTTACCAAACGAAGCTTCAGTATTGGGAATGGTACTGAATCACATTTAATTGAGTTTTTTGAGCAAAGTGGTTCCATGGGAATCCCTAAACAATCCAAGATGTTGCAAAAGCTATAATAGGTTGTTCTCCACAAATTGACAGCAAGGCTCTATTGCTGAAAATAACCCCTGTACAACTCATTAAACACGGAGAAGTCAAGCTAGTGTCTACCTAGGGCCTTCGCCCCTACTGTCTAGTATTTTGGCTATCTGAATACGTTCTGCACACTAACAAAGAAGAAATGTCAACACCAACCCAGCTACAAGCCCTTAAATCTACAATGGTGATACGATGATGTAACCGTGGCACAAAGCTTACGGGAGTAACCAACCAACACCTGGTTGGATTTGAGGCCCATGGCATGAGATGGAGCCTATAACCAATGCTGCTTGGGTAACTAAGAACCTGATACCAGTTGAACAGCTGGGACCACACCCAAGTGTTCAGGAACCTAGGTGTGGCCTGAGTGTCCAGAACAGGAGGTTTTTAAAGGCAGAGACCTTTACTGGCATCTTCCTGGGCGGCTTCGGGAAGAGCTTCTCAGAGTAAGCAGTTTGAAGTGAGCAGTTGAGCAGAAGTTAAGATGAGTTGTTAGCCGGAGGCGGTTCCGCACATACAGGTAGTTTTAACAAAGGCTAAGATAAGTTAGCTATGACATCCTGACCTTTGATTACTAGAATAGAGTTGGGAACTTTGCCTTGGGATTCTCCATCAAGGAGATCTGACTCTAGTTAAATCTGCAATGGCCTCAGCAGGAGTACAAGATGGGCCGGGCGGTGGTGGGCACACGCCTTTAATCCCAGCACTTGGGAGGCAGAGGCAGGTGGATCTCTGAGAGTTCGAGGCCAGCCTGCTCTACAGAGTGAGTTCCAGGACAGCCAGGACTGTTATCCAAAGATACCTTTTCTTGAAAAAAGCAAAGCAAACAAACAAAAGAGCACAAGGTGGAGGAATCTCTGGCTGTCTTGCCCAGTCACAATGACATTCTGCTATACTCATAGGTCCCGGCCCTGCTCAGCCTCATCATAGAAGCCTTTTCCTGCAAGGAATAAATACAGGAACCCACAGCCAGACAATATGCACAGCACGAGAGACCTCTGAACATCGAGCCTGAAATGGGATGTTTCCATCAAACCCACCCCCTCGGGCCACAGAAGGCCACAGAAGAGGAGGCAGGAAGAATGTAAGAGTCAAAGAGGATAGAGGATACCTTTAAACACAGTGCCACCGAAGCACATGTGAACTCACATAGACTGAAGCAACATGCACAGGGCCTGCGTGGTGATTTGCACCAGATGAGACCTGCGTGATGATGTGCACCAGATGAGACCCTAGAACTGAAGGGAGGAGTGGACACCTGCCCCCATCCCGAACCCAGAAGAATCCCCGACTGATTACCACTTGCAGATGAAAAATTAGTTGTCTCTAGGACAGTCTCACTGAGGAAATAAACTACTTTAAGGGTAATGTGAGACCAAAACAGGAAAAATATACCTCGCAGGTGAAGAGTTCTGTGTAGTTTTAAAAATAAATCCCTGTTTGTCCTATGTATGTTTTGCTCATCTATACCAGATGTACTTGATTACATGTGGTCCGTCAGGAGGATGTATGCTTGCCCCTGATTGGATGTAGGTAAGAGGTACATAGACAGGAAACACATCAGGATGTATGCTTGTCCCTGATTGGACTTGATGGGAAATATGGTAGCTTTGTGGGGTTGCCTTTTTAAGCATCTGCAAGGCATGACTCACAGCCATTTTCTGGGAACCTAGAGATGGACCTGGCCAGAGAATCCACCAACCTGACCAGTATTTAATTAATCTTGCTTTAATCTAATTTAAATTAATTTAAATTAGATAGATTTAATTAGATAATTTATTTGTGTGTTTCTGTGTGTAAGATGTGTGTGTGTGGGCACAAATGCCAAGGCTCAAGAGTGGAGCCCAGAGGACAGTTTTGTGGAGTTGGTTCTCTCCACCGTTACCCAGGTTTAGAGGGTCAAATTCAGGTTATCAGGTCTCCTTGACTCACTTAGCCATCTCATCAACCTTCAAAAAATGTTTTTAAATTTAGTGTGTGTGTGTGTGTGTGTGTGTGTGTGTGTGTGTGTGTGTGTGATTTGTGAGTATATGTTATTGTGGTATGGTGTGTGTGTGTGTGTGTGTGTGTGTGTGGTGTGATATGGGTGAGTAGTGTGGTGTGAGTGTGTGTGTGTGTGTGAGAGAGAGAGAGAGAGAGAGAGAGAGAGGGAGAGAGAGAGAAAGAGAGGGAGAGGGAGGTGTATGTGTGTGTGCCACAAGTTTTGGAAGTCTGTCCTCTCCTTTAGCGGTGAATTCTGGGGATATAGAACTCAGGTCTTCTGGCTTCCCTCACCAAATGCTTTCACAACCATCTCACTGGCCTGACCTTGACCTGGTCCTCTGGCCTCTACTTCCCTAGTCCATTACCATATTGCTTTATGCAGTGCTCAGGATGGAATCCAGGGTCTTCTGAGCATGCTAGGCAAGCCTTCTACCAACTGGGCTGCTGCGTGTTTTGTTTTTGAGCAACATGTTGCTCTGAATCTAGGTGTACCTCATACTCACAGCAATTCTCTTGCCTTTACATCTGGTACAACAGGTGTGTGTCACCACACTCAGCAAAGTCAGTTGATTTCCAGCTCATCCTCCATTATCTATATGTCATATTCTGTCATTAGATAGGTAGATAACCAAGATGGTTTTTATAAGCTAAAACTTGGGCTTTGGCCTAATCAGGTCCAGTCTAGGCAGGTAGTGACTTCCTCTAGTGAAATTTCAGGGTAGACATAGAAGAAAAAAAAATGTCAAAATTAGTCTACCCAGACCAGAGCTCAGCAAAGAGACATAGGCACATGTCCTTGTTCTTGTGGAAAAATGCTATCATATCTTTAATGACTATTGTCAAGACCTCTCATCCACAAGACTGAAAAATACCCTGAGAGTGAGAAAGTGATTTACCAAGCACCACCACAGAGTAAATTGCTTCACATTTGTTAAGTTGTGAGAACACAAAAATGATCCCTAACTCAAACAGATGGGAGAGACAGTGGGCCCAGCAACTTCATTTTTAAATATGAAATGTGACAGCTATTTGGTATATGTTATCAGAGAAAAAAAATAAAGGTGGCCTCATAAAAATGTGACCACGATAAAATCAGCAAAACTGCCGAGCAGTGAGTTGTCACCATCGTTAAGACCGCCAAATTCATCACAGTAAATCTCCATGTTCTGATACTTGTTTTACAAACAAGAAAACAGAAATGGAGAGGCTAGCTAACTGTGACTAAGAGTATATACAGCTAGGCCACTGTGGCTCAAACCTGTAAGCCCAGAGCTTGAGACTGAGGCAGGAGAATTATCACAAGTTCAAAGTTACCCTAGGCTATAGAGTGAGATTCCCCTGTTGAGAAAGAGAGAGAGAGAGAGAGAGAGAGAGAGAGAGAGAGAGAGAGAGAGAGAGGAGG